CGTGTGACTTTTGGAGGAAGTCTCGTAAGAAACGCTCGTTTTTGAGACTTGACGCGTGACTTTTGGAGGAAGTCTCGTACGAAACGCTCGTCTTGCAGCCTCGCAGCGTGACTTTTGGAGGAAGTCTCGTACGAAGAGTGTGCCCTACAGGAGTGTCCCACAAGAGTGTCCTACAAGAGTGTCCCACAAGAGTGTCCTACAAGAGTATCCCACAAGAGATTCCTACATGAGTGTCCCACAAGAGTGTCCCACAAGAGTCTCCTACAAGAGTGTCCCACAAGAGTGTCCCACAAGAGTGTCCCGTATGAGTGTCCCACAAGCGTGTCCCACAAGACAAGTGTCCCACAAGCGTGTCCCGTATGAGTGTCCCACAAGAGTGTCCCTTAAGAGTGTCCCGCATGTCCCACAAGAGTGTCCTACAAGAGTGTCCCACAAGAGTGTCCTACAGGAGTGTCCCACAAGAGTGTCCCACAAGAGTATCCCACAAGAGTGTCCCAAAAGAGTGACCCACAAGAGTGTTCCACAAGAGTTTCCTACAAGAATGTCCCACAAGACTTTCCCAAAAGAGTGCCCTACAAGAGTGTCACACAAGAGTGTCCTACAAGAGTGTCCCACAAGAGTGTCCTACAAGAGTGTCCCACAAGAGTGTCCCGCAACCATGTCCCACAAGAGTGTCCTACAAGAGTATCCCACAAGGGTTTCCTACAACAGTATCCTACAACAGTTTCCCACAAGAGTGTCCCACAAGAGTGTCCTACAAGAGTGTCCCACAAGAGTGTCCCGCAAGAGTCTCCCAAATGAGTGTCCCACAGGAGTGTCCCACAAGAGTGTCCCGTAACAGTGTCCCGCAAGAGTGTCTCACAAGAGTGTCCCTTAAGAGTGTCCCACAAGAATGTCCCACAAGAGTGTCCCGCAAGAGTGTCCCACAGGAGTGTCCCACAAGAGTGTCCCGCAACAGTGTCCCGCAAGAGTGTCTCACAAGAGTGTCCCTTAAGAGTGTCCCACAAGAGTGTCCCGCAACAGTGTCCCACAAGAGTGTGTCCCACAAGAGTGTCCCACGAGAGTATCCCACAAGAGTGTCCTACAGGAGTGTCCCACAAGAGTGTCCCACAAGAGTATCCCACAAGAGTGTCCTACAGGACTGTCCCACAAGAGTGTCCCACAAGAGTTTCCTACAAGAGTGTCCCACAAGACTTTCCCACAAGAGTGCCCTACAAGAGTGTCCCACAAGAGTGTCCTACAAGAGTGTCCCACAAGAGTGTCATACAAGAGTGTCCCACAAGAGTGTCCCACAAGAGTGTCCCACAACAGTGTCCTGCAAGAGTGTCCCACAAGAGTGTCCCACAAGAGTGTCCCAAATGAGTGTCCCACAGGAGTGTCCCACAAGAGTGTCCCGCAAGAGTGTCTCACAAGAGTGCCCCACAAGAGTGTCCCACAAGAGTGTCCTGCAAGAGTGTCCCACGAGTGTCCCAAATGAGTGTCCCACAAGCGTGTCCCACAAGACAAGTGTCCCACAAGCGTGTTCCGTATGAGTGTCCCACAAGAGTGTCCCTTAAGAGTGTCCCGCATGTCCCACAAGAGTGTCCTACAAGAGTGTCCCACAAGAGTGTCCCGTATGAGTGTCCCACAAGTGTGTCCTACAAGAGTGTCCGACAAGAGTGTCCCAAAAGAGTGACCCACAAGAGTGTCCTACAAGAGTGTGCAACAAGAGTCCCGTAAGAGTGTCCCACAAGAGTGTCCTACAAGAGTGTCCCACAAGAATGTCCTACAAGAGTGTCCCGTAAGAGTGTCTCACAAGTGTGTCCCACAAGAGTGTCCCGCAACCATGTCCCACAAGAGTGTCCTACAAGAGTATCCCACAAGGGTTTCCTACAACAGTATCCTATAACAGTTTCCCACAAGAGTGTCCCACAAGAGTGTCCTACAAGAGTGTCCCACAAGAGTGTCCTACAGGAGTATCCCACAAGAGTGTCCTACAAGAGTGCCCCACAAGAGTTTCCTACTAGAGTGTCCCACAAGAGTGTCCCGCAACAGCGTCCCACAAGAGTGTCCCACAAGAGTGTCCCGTAAGAGTGTCCCACAAGAGTTTCCTACAAGAGTGACCCACAAGAGTGTCCTACAAGAGTGTCATTTGGACATATGTAGCTTTTTGAACGTGTTTGCATTCGGGTTCGTGGGCTCCATCTTGTGATTTTTTAATGATTTTGTTTTCATTTATGTTGTTTTAATGATTCCGCGCGGCGCGCCTCCGCCGCTGGGGTAGGACGCAGCGCGGTGGCTGGGAAGGTGGCGGCTAGGTCTGCAGGTTGCGCAGTGGCCCCTGGAGAGCTGGCGCGTCCGAAGTCCCAGGCAGGTGGGAGGTCACCTAGAGCTAGCCAGGGGAGCAAACGCTAAGTCCTGTTCCTTTCCTTCCCTGTGGCCCTGAGTACGGCACAGCCTTCACAGGCTTGAGGGAATCAGCGTAAACTGAAACCTTCTTACTTAAAGGCTTAAAGGCGTCAAGCACTTTAAACCTTGCGCACTGCTTGGTTTTTTGCACCGTGTCTCCAGCATAGAACTTGCCATTGATATTCCCTTGCTTCTATTTGCTAAATGCCTGGTGGCTTATACCAACGTAGCTGCAAGTAATGCCGCGAAACCTTGCCCTTGGCCCAAGGCCACGTGACACTCTGCGCGTCTGAGATTTAGAATCCTATCAATTCAGTCGTTCATTGTCGTTTTTTCAATCTTTGGCCCTCGCGAGTCCTGAGCTACACTAGCCCTTTTCAATCACATCACGGACGTGACATTTTGCAGGCCTTCTGCATATTTGATATTTATTTGGCTCGCAAACCAAGAGCCTTGAACGGACCTTCAACCACAGTCCAAAAACGATTGGTGAATTTGCCGAAAGATAGCAAGAAAAACACAAACGCTAAAGGGAAGACATGAAAAAGGCACTTCAACAAAACATATTAAAAACATAAAAGAGAACATAAAAGAGAACATAAAATCACAAAAATATCATAAACCAAAAAACACCACTTTGTAAAAACAGAAATAGAAACATATTGAAAACACAAAAAATAAAAGTAAAAAACAGTGTGTTTTTGAAACCACTATGCTTGGCTACATCTAAACTCACAAGTGTAGATTTCGCGGCAGGCACAGCACTTTGTGAACCTCCAAGCGCAGATTTCGTGGCAGGCACAGCGCTTGGTGAACCTCGAAGTGCGGCGCAGCACCTGGTGAACCTCGAAGTGCAGATTTCGTGGTAGGCGCAGCACTTTGTGAACCTCGAAGTGCAGATTTCGCGGTGAATCTCGAAGTGCAGATTTCGTGACAGGCACAGCGCTTGGTGCGGCAGGCGCAGCACTTTGTGAAACTCGAAGTGCAGATTTCGTGGCAGGCACAGCACTTAGTGCTCTCAGACGCTCACTCTCTCACTCTCACTCTCACTCACACTCACACACGCTCAAGCTCACGCTCGCACTCACTCTCACTCACACACTCTCACTCACACTCACATTCACACTCATGCGCTCTCACTGTCTTAGATGACTCTCTCACTCTCTCGCTCCCACTCTCACTCTCACTCACGCTCACTCTCACTCACACTCACTCTCACTCACACTCACACTCACTCTCACTCTCTCACTCTCACTCTCTTACTCTCACTCTCACTCACACTCACACACGCTCACGCTCACACTCACTCTCACTCACACTCATTCTCACTCACACTCACTCTCACTCACACTCACTCTCACCCACACTCACACTCAGACACTCACTCACACTCACATTCACACGCACACTCACACTCACTCTCACTCACATTCACACTCACTCACACTCACTCTCTCTCTCTCTCTCTCACTCACTCACTCACTCACTCACTCACTCACTCACTCACTCACTCACTCACTCACTCACTCACTCACCACCGCCACCATCACCACGATCCCCACCTTCATCACCACCATCACCTCTCTGGACCCAATGAATCTAGATCTCTAGACTCTCTGCTGCTACGCCTCTAGACCTCACACACACTGTTTGGGGTCTCTTGCCGGGATAATGTTCCGGTGATAGTATTTTCGCAGCGTTTTCTACTGTCTATTGTAGTAGTCATCCACCAGTATCATGCTCGAAGAGTTTCTATGTTACTCTGAGCAATTAAAGTAGTGAAACTTGAAACTTGAAATAGTGCCAGACTGGACAAACTTCCGAAACCGAGCGGACAGCAGGGCAATGATAAACCTCTCACCTGCACAGTTCCCTGTGAGCAATAGTCTTAAGTACCTGGATGAATATGATTGAATATGGATAGGTCAAAACGTGGCATTTCCACCCACCAGAATTGAACCTAGAGACTGTGTCCTTAACATGCGCACTGGGTGTGCCTGCTTCAGAAGTTTAGCAAGTTCGAAAAGTTCACCTGTTAAAATCACCTGCACGTTCCGGGTGTTGCCTCTCATGGCATTTGAGATCATTTGAGATGTTGGGATCAATTGAAATGAGAGCGTGTCCACAAACAACATGGCAAGCATGTCTCCAGTATCAACCAACTAGCAACCACACACTATCTTGGACACGGTGCACGTCCATCTCTCAAGTTCCACCTACAACTTCTGCCTGCCTACTGGTAACTCTTGGCTTCCTCACGCATTTCCACCACTGCTTGGAGCAAAAGGGTGGCCAGGTGGCCCCCAACGTAGGAGCGCACCAAACCGACAAGGCTGATGAAGGACATGAGCTCGAGACGTTGGCGAATCTTCCGCGGAGGGGGCGCCACTGAACCCACAGCCGTCATCGGTTGCTCATTTGCACCACCTGTGGAGAACGCGCGAGGGGTCACGTTCCAGCTGCCTCTTTTAGGTTCCAACTTTGCATTTGGCGGGACCAAATGATTGAAGACTCTTCCAAATTGGACAAAAAGATGGTCAGGTTCAGTTGCTGGTGAAAGGACTGCATCCGTTACAGTACCTGATGTTATATTAAATGCAGTACGGATGTTTCTGGTTCCAAGGGAAAAAGCACAAGTCAACCCATCAAGCAAATATGGCAACAGGGCTCTATCGGTCAAACACATCTGATTCAAGACTACTTCCCAGCCACAAGACATGGGACTGGAAGAATATTGCCGATCCATTGGGGTGAATTGAAGATAGTTTGAAGGGTTCAAGGTTGTAGGTAAATGTTCCATACATGAATGGTCTGAGTCTGGTTTTCAATCTTTATGAGGCATAGCAAAAGCATGCTCCACTCATGCCTGAGTCATTTCTGGACATACTGCCAATGGGCAAAATCCTGCTGAACCCAGGTGAGCGGTGTTCAAAAAAGTGTTGTCTTTTCTTTCCGAGAATTCCACTCTTACGGTAGGCCTTATGCAAGGCTTACGTTTGTCATCGTGTTTCTATGTTTTGCTTACGGCGACACACGTACGCAAAGTTTTTCCTACGTTGCGCTTACGGCGGTATGCAAATCCACTGTGGTCACATGTGGTAGGTTGTTCAATATCTTTGGGGCCCAGCTGTCATGAAAGTAAACAAGTTCCACTAACCTTACAGCACCGTTCAGTGCTGCACATCCTTGTGGCAAACCTTTCGGAAACCTTACAAACTTTATTACAAACATCAGCTTAACATCATTGTTTTCTCGTATTGCTCGCCGGTTCCTTACTAAAAAGGAAAGGGTGAATGTAGAACACTGCTCAGGTGTTCTTCTCTGCCATCAGCAAGAAGAAGTAATCCCAAAAGGCCAACTACTTTTTGCCAGGGTCGATCCGAGGTCTCTTGTTCAGCTCTGGCACGCACTGGTGAGCTCGCACTGCGGATGGTGAGCTCGCATTGGATGAGGCGGAGAATCTCCTGTGCTCCCCAAAGCTCCATCTCCTTCTCGATCGGATCCGAGAACGGCCGATCCAACGAAGCCTCTGGGTCGGGTCTGACCACACAGAGCCGACCCAAACCATCGATGTGGTGAAAAATAAAACGTTCAAAGAATTAGGCAGTGCTTGGTGCCGAGCCAGGAATTGGGTTTGACCATAAGTGGCTTTAAATTACCTACACCTGAGAAGGGGGGGACGAAAGCCAGCAGCCGCCAGACGAATGTCTCTTTTTCTGGCGGGCGTCGCAGCACAAGACACATGGTCGGCAGCTTGCAAGTCAGCGGTGCCGCGGATGCGGGGGGCGTGTGTAATGGTGATGGAGGGAGCAGAGAGGCAAGCCGGGCGGCTTTGGGATAAGCTTGGTATGAAAGAAGTAATGAAAGAGAAGCGCGATACGTTGTACGTTGGTGTAGGTCATCATCACACGGCAATGGCATGTGCTTGTCACACGCACGAAGGTGTGCATCTTATGGAAGTTGGCTGGCGACATCAGCTTTAGCGAAAGGGAAATAACACCGTCTGAGTTCGAGTGGTGGGATACCACGTGCGCGCGCGCACACCTTCTCCATAGTCGTCGCCGCGCGCGCACGCGCGCGAGTACGGCGCGCGTTCGAAAGGAAGCAGTTATGTGTTTGTTACATTTGGAGTGTTTGAAGTTTGCAATGCATACTGCGGCACGTCGAAAAGCGGCATTCGTTGATTTGGAAGAGTGAACGGGCACGTCCTAGCCGGGACACGGACGTTTGATCCCGCGGCGCAGAAGGGGAGGTCCAGCGCGAGTAGCTTGGGCTAGCAAAGGAGTGAGGATTTGTGTGCCGCCTGGGCTTGAGTGAGTCATGTTCTGGCTCGATCCAAATCACAATCTTTTTCCTTTACAGGGGCCTTCATTAAACGATCCAAACACCTTCTTTATTCTTCTCTTTCTTATCAACTCTGCGCCCTCACTCAGAGGCCTTGATTTGGCACCTGCATGTGTAGATCTTCGGGCCGTGGACCCAGGCTGACTGGATTCGGCCAGGCTGCCAGCAAAAAGGCGACGTCATCAGTCATTAGTATACCTCATTTATCTATCTATCTATCTATCTATCTCTCTATCTCTCTCTCTCTCTCTCTATCTATCTATCTCTATCTATCTATCCATCCATCCATCTTTCTTTCTTTCTTTCCTATCTATCTATCTATCTATCTATCTGCACCGGCAAGCCGGAAAAACGCTCGGTGCGTGTGGACGCGATATAGTTTTTGCTAGGGGCAGGAACCCTATGCGGATATGTAGTCAACCTCGCAGGCATCCCCACCGAAACTCAATCCAAATTCATGGGCTTGAACTCAAGTCACTTTCGGTTCTCTATGGATTTCGCGAGTTACGGGTTGTCCTGGAAACCGTATCCTACATGTGGCTGCGGTCTGCTCTGTACGTGGGTCCCTGTCTCCGCTCGATTGCTCAGTGCCCATTTTCAAATTAGCCTCCAAAGCCCTGCATGATGCTAACGATGCACTACTCGGCGTCCATTACATCACTCGCATCACCAGATCCCATTTTCGCTGCTTTTTCTTTGGAGCGCTCTCCCCCACCAAGCTCTGGGTTTACCCTAATCAAAAAGTCCTCCTCAGCGACCACCTCCCTTAACTCACTTCGTTCGCCCTAAAAGCTCAAGCCTAGCCTATCGGCTGGCTTTCGTAAAGTAGGAGTACTTTTATATAAATAGAATGTACAAAATAAGCAGGGCCCAAGGACGCTACTAGGAGCAAAGGGCATCGCTACTAGTAACAAGAAGCTACTAGGGGCTCCTGGCCTTACTACTAGGAGCAAGGATGCTACTAGGTGGGTCGGACCGACCCAACACCGAAACGGGGGAAAACGGGCCCGAAGCCAAACCCTGGCCCTATTTGTTTGAGGGCCCGGATTCTTAGGGAAGTTGAATTTGTGAGTTATAGCTTGGGTACATCCCAGTACCATATCCTGTACCCAGGCCCAGTGGATGATGGCTTTCTCAATTAGGTTGGCCTGTCCAAAAAATAGTGATCATCTTTCACCGACTGTTACTAGTTTGGAACACGACATGGAACAAATCATGTTGCATCTCTTGGGAACAACCCCTGAAACCTTTGAAACCTTCCCATCTACACCGCCCCCTGAAACGATCTTGGAGATCTTCCACATTTCCTTACATTTCAATACATGTCATGCCCCGTGCTTTTGCCCCAGTGGGAACTTTCAAGTCTCCTCAGCTTGGGCCTTCATGGGTGGAAGCACCGCCGCCTAGGACGCCAAACGAGACAAGAGTTGAGGGTCACGAAGTACACAACCGGTGAGAAAGAGAGGCAGAAAAAAATCACTCAATCTGCAGGACACTTGGAGACTGGACCTTGATAGAAAGCTGAGGTGAAACTTTCTATCAAGTTTGAGATGGACCTTGATCAAAAGCTGATTTTAGACTAGTGCACGACTGGCCTTAAGTTGCCGGTTGCAAAAATCATAGGCAGCTCGAAGATCGTTTCGGACGAACATAAGTGGGTGACCCGACTCAAACGCTTGGATCAAATACACTCTGGTACCTAGTACCACTTGCATCCACGGTGACCTCCAACAGGGTAGAAACATCAATTCACTTCGCAATACATGCTGGGAACCTCTTTGTGCCCTATTTTTAGGGATACGCTCTGTGTCATGCACCAAAACTTGTCTATCACAACACCAAACCAGTTCATCGATCACATTCACCAAGTTGGTCGCTCAACCCTGTGGGGGCACAAGTGAGCGTGAGCACCGAATGTCGGACCCCCTCTGCATATGAGGCTACTAGTAGCTTCTTGCTCCTAGTAGCGATGCCAGGAGCCCCTAGTAGCTTCTTAATGCTTCTTATGGGTGCCCAGGTGCGAGGATCCGCGTCTTTGGCCACGAGGTCAACATGTCCCGGCCATGCTTGTCGAAGGTCACGGGCCGATGCGGATGCGAACTGTGGCAATAGCCGCACTGAGCGCCCTCGATGCCGGCCACCGGCCGACGGTCCAAAAACATCAGCGGTGGCCGGAATCACTGAGTTCCCATGGTTGTTGCAGAATGGAAAACACTTCTGAACCCAAGCTTCAAAGAAAGACCGCAGGAGATAAGTACCAAAAGGAGAAAAAACATGTCGTGTCTGTCTCGCCTGATCGCATGATCCTCGAGCAAACTTGATGCAAGGCCTGCGGCAAAGATGCGGGTGTCCCAAACTTCCTTCACTTCCTTGGAAGCCTGCCACGCAACGCCGGATTTGCACACGTGCGTCTCTGTCCCACGTGGAAGTGTGACAAGCAGCATGAAGACGACGATCGCCGCCACCAAAGGCTCACGAAAGTTCCAAACATCTACTAAAACTAAATTAAATATCTCAGCAACAAATTCTGTTGAGTTGTTCTTAGGATTCTTCCAGTGACTTGTCCTCTACAGTTTGACTGGTACCGTATACGGTAGCCTTATCAAAACCCGCCCTTGAATGGGCCTTGCTCGAACGAGGCGGAGGAGTTGCTGGGCGTGTCGCTCTGCTTCAACGTGGGGAGATCTGCCTTCTCCCGCAACTTCGCCACCTCTACTGCGGGCACCGAATCTCAAAGGCCACGGCAAGGCTGCGCACGTGCTTTGATCATTTGTTCATCCACAAGAAGGCTCTACCGACTCTACTTATATTGAAGATGCGGCAAGGTTTCAGCTTGGAGATCAAGCTTTGGCTTTGGATACAACATCATTCTCATGACTGATCCAACATATCGTTTTACAGGGTTTGGGGCAACCTACATCACGGAAAGATTCCTCCAAGAGTAAACTCTTACATGAACAAGTTCACTTATTGTTCACTTCTTGCTTGGACAAGACAAGGCACTTGCATGTGGCATCGCCAGTCCTGGTACTTGCTGGACTGACACTCTACAGCTGGGCAGCTACGGGAACGTTTGTCGTTCTTCGACACCGGGAACACCTCATCGATGAAGGTGAGATGATAGCGGAGCGCCATGGCGAAATTTCGAAAGTCAGGCAGCTACGGGCAAGAAGGTCAGCAGCTGATGAGCCGAAAAATGCTGAAGAGCGGCAAAAAACTGCATCCACCTGTCATTTGGTGTATACATCCTTCCGAATGGAGAAAAATCTCTCTGCGCTGATCCAGCGGTGAGACTTTGGGCCTTCTATGTGCGTCTAGAGGCAGGACTTCTATGTAGAGACACACCCTCTTAAGTTGACCACTTCCAAAAACAACACCTCGTCCACTCGAGTGGAGATTTGCTTACCCTTGTGGGAATCCTCCTTGGGCACGAGATCAAGTTGCTTGCAGGAATCACCCCACAAGGCTCATTGCAAACAGCGATTCCCGTCACACAGCTGCGATCGCAGTAGCGCTTCGCCAGCAACTGAAGCCAAGTGATTGCAGTGACTGTAAGAAAGGGGTTCTGTGGAAAGAAGAAAAACAAAGGGAAGTAAAGCAACATGGAAAAGTGCCTTTGCGATGTTGAACAATAAAATACTTTGAGGCCTGCTTTATAGAGAAGTCTTTGGTAGTTTATATAGATCTGAAGTGCTCTACGCCTTGCTACACCTCACAACTCAGAAAGAAACACTTCCACTTGTAAAAAGCCATGAAAGACCCTTCTTAGAAGGAGGCCATCGCTAGTAGGTTGGAGGCCGTCGCTATTAGACAAAGAATTGGAAAAGGAAGAAAGGTCTAAAGAGCAGGATCTTGAGGGATGCTGCAAAGAACTCATACAATCGACATCCGACCTGCAGGATCTTCAGGGATGCTGCAAAGTCCCAGTGCCGCCAATCCCAGCGGCTCTCGGGCCGCTGTCGCCGGCCACATGGTGCCTTCCGCCGGTTTTTGGTCGGCCCATGTAAAGAGGTGAAAGAATGGACTGTATGCAGTAGAAACTTGCAGTAGTGCCTGTAGACCCCCAAATAGATAGAAAAATAGATCCCCACAAAAAATGTTTTGGAAAAGGTTTCTATCTGGGGACCACTATAGGTACCTCCATTGCTTGACGCACTGCGGACCTCTGGGCTTTCGCCTCCCGGGCAGCCATGGAGATCCAGAACAATCTGTAGCCCTAGCTCCTGCACTTCGGATACTGCTCTCCGCATGAGTGCTAAAAAGCTGCATAGTCTGAGAGAAGGGATCGAACAGCCTTTCATTGAGAACTTCTTTTTCAAGAGCTCGTCTGGAAGCATTGATCAAAACAAAACAGTATCATAATGTATCACTAGTAGCTCCTGGCCTTACTACCAGGAGCAAGAAGCAACTAGGAGCACAGGGCATCGCTACTACTAGTAGGAGCATAGTAGCTCCTGACCTTACTACCAGGAGCAAGAAGCAACTAGGAGCAC